AGGGGATTCGGGATCTTAGTACGCATTTCATTATTATATTTTTATAAAACTTGCATTTAGTTATAACCACGCATTTAATTTAATTAATTTAGGCTTTATATTTATAAGTAGGTTATTAAATCATAATTTAGTTAGCGAAAATATCAAAAATTTCTATTGTTTCGGTTAAAGCGAAAATAATTTAAATTTAAGCTAATACAATCTCTGTGGGATGATACTTGGACTCAACAGGTCCACTTTATTACTTGAATGCGACCCGTGCAATTGCGATATAGGAAATCAGCGAACAATGTGTTCTCGAGGTACGAGCAACACAAAATGAGATATGATAAATGTAATGAGATCTTTTCATAGGGGTCATTTATACATTTGTAGCATATGTGTTTGGCTATTTGATTGATTAACTTGGTGTTAGATTGAGAATCCTTCTGAACAAGTTTGCCAAAAAAAAAAAAAAAAACCTGTATGTTATCCTATGTTATATCTTCATCGTATATTTATTTGGTTTTGACTCATTATTGTGATTACTTGCTCCTACTTGGCACTATTGACCTTAGCTCTAACATGTATATAGAGCAGGTATGGTATATGTTTCAAGTTCGAAACACGAGGTAATGTCTGTGATTCTAATTTACTAGTTACCTTGATTAGGCAAATATAAACTTTGTGTTTTGGTTGCTTGCGGGTTGACTGGTATCAATGTTGAGATTTATTGGGTTTTGATATCTGATAAATCTCGGACAGTAATGTTAAAATGATATTGGATAAGCTACATCAATACTTTAGTGATGGCTCGACCCAAAAACAATTTTGGCCACTAGAAGTAGCTTAATTAAGTTAATATTGCTCGTGGTAGAACACTTTTGATGGCCCATGTTGAGGTTGGATTTGTTGGATGGTGGTACGTATTGGTCCAATTTAGGCTAGTTGTGGTCTTTGTTGTGGTAGCCCATTTGCCTTGGTTTTGATGGCCCAATTGTTATTTCTTAAGTTGGTGACCTTAATTATATATATCCATTCTTTGCTCGTGAATATCTGTGAGCTGTGCAATAGAGGAGAATGGTCAGGTAGCAGACTTGGTATAATTGGAGTTCAACTATTGCTTCTTCTTTCTTCTTCCTCTCTTTGTGATATTGCTACCACCACTCTAATCCTTAATGAGTTAGAAACTTGTGGCAACTAAGTAGGCAAAGTAGTGGATCGAGCTAAGCTCTGTTGGTGCTTATTTGATGAGTAAACTGAGCCCAGATTCAAGATTTCTCAAAGCTTCGGTCCAACAAGTTGAAATCTTAATTCTAAGCATGATAATTGATGTTTAAACATGTTTCTTCCAGGAATCTAATGAAGTTATACGTGATATCTACTGATTAATTATACTAGTTGTGATTTAGTATCGAAATACTCCTGGATACTTGTTTAGAAAGGAAAATGCAAGAAAAATTGGATCATGGGTCGTTCATATGCGGTAATCCAACCCACAAGACATCAAAATGGTTGGAGGAAGTGGTTTGAACCTGAAATTCAAACCTACAACTCACATAACCCCTCTTAACTCCCATACAACTTTCAATTCTTGTCTTAGACAAGAAGAGAGAAAATATGGCACCAATAATGTGAAAATTCATATGGAAATTTACTAAAAAAGTAGACTTCCGAGGACCACATATTTGGCATAAAAATTGGTACTTAGTTGTCGATAATAATCTCTTTCAATTGTGATTGAGATTGTGACATGGAATAGCAAGGTGATTCAAAAAAGTAGAATTAGGGACATGGAATAGCAAGGTGATTCAAAAAAATAAATAAATAAATAAATAAATAATGAAGACGTTGGAATACTTCTTTTAAAAGAACAATTCAAGATACACAATACATAGTGGAGATTCCTACAACTCGTTTTTATTGTCAATTGCATTGCAGAAAATGCTCTAATAATGGTTTTACAAAATTCATTGACAGAATATGGATCATCGAGAAAGTGTATTGTGTAATCAGAGACCTGAAGATCCTCAACAGGAGCGTAATGCATATCCTTAGGCTTTGGTATCACAGGCAAGCATGTTGCAGAAGCAGGTTTGTAATACGATTAGCCAATTCAACAGGAGAGTTACATTTGGTCTCCGATAAAAAAATCAGCTCTACTGCAACAAAACTGCAGAAGCAACTTCCGGCCTTAATAATGCTATTTTAGACATCTTCAAGCCCATCTATGACCTTGTTTAAATCCTACAGGAAAATGGTATGTAAAAAAAATATTTTTGAATTAAAATTTATACCAGGTGAATTGGTAAACCTTATTACAATTGTTTTCCCTTTAATTTGGATTTTACAGGTTTTACAAAAGCAACAAGAGTTTGCTTTGGCACAGGAAATTTAAAGACATCATCATTCTTGGGCAATAGGCACTTGTAGCAATGCAACTCAGTATGTATTTTGGACACTGTGCATCCATCTCAGACCGGTAATCAAGTTCTAGCTCATTCCTTGATCTTCCAAGGCATCACCTGTTTGGAATCTACTTATCATGCACAGTGAAAAATTAAAACAAATTTCAATTCCCATCAGGAATCATTTTTGTGTTTAGATAGAAATTGTGATAAAAGATCTACTTTTGAAAAATTCTGCAAACCTTTTGCCATTCTTTTCGTTCCAACAATTTCGATCTGTCACTCACAGCTGTTCAATTGTCTAGCCTCCAACAGTTATCCACACAGAGAACAAGATTGCAGGATTAGAGTTTTCTTCTTGTGCTAGCAAGAATAATGAATTCTTTTCGAATTGAAAATCCTAACCATATATTTATATAAGCCCGAAAGGATTTGGCCTGACTTGATCCAATATTTAATTAAATTTGGTCCGTGAATTAATTAGTTCGAGCCTATAAATAACCAACACAATTAATTAATTTATCCAACGATTGTAAAATTAATTAACAAATTACAATCTTCCAATTCTCTTTTGTGTGCGACCCATCAGGTTCTCGATCACGATGTCTAACGACGTGAAATATTATTTTGATATAATCAAATTGATAAATTAAAAACACCCCTTTAGTTTATCACCAATTCACACTCGCCATCTCAAATTGACATCTACTAATGTGTCAGGGCAATATATGTGACAGGAAATGTCACGTGGTATCACAAAACCAAACTCGTTTGTTTACCATGAAGCTATAATCCTTCGTCAATATAATCCGACCAATTACAATATATGAAAGTGTGTCAATCTCGATTATTGATCATATCTTTCACTCCACTATTAAGTCAATTTAAGTCGAACACTCCTTTTCGACTTATGAGTACACCTTGTCCAAGAATTTCATTATCGACTTAATTGAATGAAATGCAGATCATAATCCCTTATTATCTAAGAGTGACGAATCATTTATTGGTCATTCACAACCTTCATACGATTCTTGACATACCCGAACGATGTCGTATTAGTAGCCCTTGACAAAGTAACATCCAACACCGTCAAAACATAACTGCCCTCACATAAGGTACTATGACGACCTCAAGTCAAAGGACCAATCCTACTACCAAACGTTAGAGATTAATCACTGACACTCAGATAGTTATCCATGTGGAATCTCTATGCAGGTCTCCAATATTTTGTTCTATAACAAAACATTCACATGTTCATTCAAGTGTCATCATACTTTAACTTGTGAGATCAACTACTTACTTCACAAATAAGAAATGTCACACGTAATGGTCTATCCATAATAATGATATTCGTATCTCGTTATTACTTACGACCACGGACGATTTAAGATTTATCATATGTAATTTGTATCTCACAATCACAACTTCTTGTGATTAAAAAATTACAAAGATTTGAATATACGGACTCTATTATTTAATTTAATTGTATATTAATGAAATAATACATCTGCCATTATATTGAATTAATTATATATTAAAAATATTTATGTCCAAAATTGATTGGACCTAAGGCATAATGCTTACATCACCTTCATAGGTTGATCAGAGAAATAGTACTGTCATAACCTATAATTGCATGTTTGATTCAGAGTATATGGAGAGTACTGTCGTAACATGATGGATTATTTAGATTTGTACGAGAAGATGGTGTTTCGAAATTTGCAGCAATTGGTTGAACCATTTAATTAGAGAGGCAATATAAGAATTGTGCCGGAGTTTCTGTTTTCGCTTGTTTTGATTACCTATAAACTCTTCCTCGAGAACGTAATCTTCCACCACAATTATGCCCCCCTTCAGCTGAAAAATGCTTGCTTGTTGGTGGTTATGTTGATGAATTTTGCTCTCAGACTCGTCATTCAATATTTATTCATGAGCTTGCAGCGCTTGAACAAATTGGTTGCAAAATGGATATGGCATTTATGTCAACTTCGCGATGGAAAATCTTTAATATTTCGGACTAAGGTCTCTAGCCAGTTGAAAAACTTCTTTGTTTCTCCTCTATAACCCAAAAAATAAAAAATTGAGTCTCAAGAGAATTCATACTAGTACTAAATTAATAACAAAGACGAGGATCAGTTGTTTCTTTTGTTGAATTTTCATTTTTAACTTCTACTTTTTAGGAGAGACTTGAGAGAGGGAAGTGAAAAACTCGATGAGACCTAAACTGATATGAAAATGTTTTTGTAATGAATAGTTAGACACATAAATAACAATTTACAAAAAAAAAATTATAATAAAAAAATAATGTAATTATTCAGTATTCAATTTCCAAAAAAAAAAACTATTTAACATAAATTGGATATTTTTCTGATTAAATTTTTGAAAGTAGCTAATATAATTAGAAACACATAATTGTTAAATATAGGAAACGGTTTCAAGATTCTAATTTAAGCTCTAGAAAAAAAAAATGAATAAATTCTCAACTTGACCACATAAAAATAACTGTCTACAAAATACTAACCAACCAACCTCCCTATAAATATGATTGTTGAGTTGGTACAAAACATAAATAAATTTTCTTTTGATTTTCCTAGATAGTAATACGAAAGAAATATGGTAAGCTTTATCCAAATTTCAATTCTCTTCGTTGTAGCCTTATGCTTCTTTTCCCTTCCTAATGTCGTATACTCAGAAGACGTTCCCCAACCACCAGTTTCTCAATTCCACATTCAAGGACAGGTTTATTGTGACACATGTCGTGCTCGATTCATTACTGAATTTAGCGAGTTCATCCCGGGTACATAATTATTCCAATGAAATGAATGCTTGGTTATAAGAATTTCTTTTGATGTGCATTCATGCATCTTCTTATGGTGGTGGTGTATGCGTTGTTGAGGAATTGGATCATAATATCTGCAATTCATAATTTATAATTTAATCCTTGCTTGTAGGTGTCGGTGTACGTCTCGAGTGCAGAGACGCGGAAAAAGGAAGTGTAACATTTACTGAGGTAGGTTACACAAAAGCAGAAGGACTATATAGTATGCTCATTGAACGCGATCACAAGAATGAGTTTTGCGAAATCACGCTGCTTTCAAGTAGTAGAAAAGATTGTGATGAAATCCCTGTTGAAGGATGGGTAAAACCATCATTGAAATTTAAGCTCAACACGGTAAATGGTACGACACGCACGATAAATCCTCTTGGATTCTTCAAGAAAGAAGCTCTACCAAAATGTCCACAAGTCTTTAATAAGCTGGGTATGTATCCTCCAGATATGTAAAGAACAAAAAGAAAATGTTAGTTGAATAATTATGTGCGCCTTTTTGTCAAGGCTTTTGATGGCCTAATTAGAGTGCCTTGTAGTATAGAAATATTTTGCTTTGTAATTTCTTTAAGTTCCCAAGAATTTTCTTGTGGAAGGACAACAAAAGTTGTAGATTATTAGATAAACAATAAATGAAATATTTATTGTAATATACTTCTATTATCTGATGTCAATGTACCACTTATCTGATAAGAGGGAAAAAAAAAAACTACAACAAAAGAAGCTTTTGCCTCCTGTAGAACACGATACACTTAAAAATGGATAAGAAGAATATATATTTATAAACACGGTAATATAAAAACAATTTAAGTCTTGTAAAAATTTTAGTTTTCGTTATTATTGAAATATTGATGAAATTACAAATATTCCAATAAACATTGACATTTTTTCCAAGTATTTGGAGAAGTATATTAAATAAATCATACTCTTATAGTTCAATGGACAATTATGGCCCTATTTGATAGGGATTTTGAGAATTAATTTTTTGACCGTTAGGAGAAAAGTCAAGGCTACTTGTGAGAGAAGTTAAAAATTACGGCTGCAATAGTGAAAAAATGGTCAAAAAATCAATTTTTTTGGATGAAAAATCACTCCCAAACACCCCCTATATCATAGACTTTTTAGATTTGTACTATAATGTCATAGACACACAATTAAACACTACAATGAACAAAATTAATTTACTTCACTTCCTAAAAACAATCCAATCACATAGCATACATGCTACTAAAGAGGTCGTAAAAAAAGTGTTGAGGACGTTCCTTCCTCTTTTCCTTTTCCTTGTGTATATTTTTGTAATGAAAGAAGATCAAAAAACGTTTTATTCACACTTCAATTGTTGTTCTTCTAATAAAGGAAACCATTTATTCAAGTTTCCAAATATCTCTTGATTTCAATTCAAGTTTGCTCAAATGAGGCAGTTACATTTCAAACAAGACGATGCTAAAAAATTCACAAATAATCTTCAATTATTAAAAGCATATGAACAAACTGCATTTCAAAAAAGTAAGACGATGCTTCCAAAATTCACAAGAATTATCCTACTTTGCTATAATTTTATTGATATAAAGATTGACATCCTCTCACAATACGTGAACCCAGGGTGAATAAAAAAGTTCAAAAAGAAGTGGACCCCCTGCCAATGTGAGTGTGGGTAATCCATTACGTCAAAAAAATTCTGTTACCGTAGCATTATTGAATTCACAAATACTCTTCAATTATCACAAGCATATGAATACAAGATCGCATTTCAAACAAGTAAGCTGATGCCTCCAAAGTTGATAATCTACATTAGAACCAGATACCATTTTATGTATATTGGGAAAACACCTCCCAAAGATTGTCCAAGATCAAACAAACTTGCAATGTGGAAAAAATCCCAAACCACTTCAAAGATAAGAAATTGAGGAAGAAATGATTTTCAATATATAAATGAAGAACAATTACTTGAACAAGCCTCAAGTTAATCCCCAAGAAAGAAAAAATTGCTTTGAATTTATACCCAAGAAAAACAACCTCTTACTTGTTAAATTTTATCCAAGCTTTCTCTATTTTTCTCTCTCAAAACCGGATCTTAAAAATGAAGGGAAAAATAGCAATATATATAGAACTGAATCGGGCGCCATGGCGCCAAGTTTCGTGCAAAAATTTGGGCGCCATGGCGCCCGCATCACTGCTCCATTCTTTCTCTTTGGGCTGCACCTTTCTTTCTCACAATTCTCCATCTCGTACATCATTTGATAGACCTCAAATTTTGGACGAACACAAGAAGAAGCAACAAGCGCCAAACTCGGCTGCACCATTCAAACCATGGTTGCCTACGTACCCAAAACTCGGGATCAAACCTCCGTAGTTCACCTCCACCTTCATATACTCTTCACCTAATTTCAACCCCGCCCCGAAGGGCCATGCCCACTCGGGCATATCAACACGGACTAATGTGAAGCAAGTCCAAGCATTGCTGAAACTTGCTACCCGTTACCACTTTGGTTAACATGTCTGCTAGGTCATCATTCTCCACCGAGAGTGCATACTCAACCAAATTTGTCTACCTATAGTGCCTCAAAAGCTCGTCTGACCCCAATTTAAGAACTTGCTTGTAAGTACAACGTGGCCTAAAGGAAGCCAAGTTATCTGCAAGCTATTATTGTTGCTGTGCCTGTACATTCTCTTACTGAACCGCCTCTTGTTCAAGCTCATCATCACTCTCATCTTGAGTGTCTGCATGATGCTCCTCTTGAACATGACTAGAACCAGGTTGATCTCTATGTTCTATTTCAACAACTTGAGACTTTGTAGTTTCAACATCATCACCATTGGGCACTGTAGCTTTCAACGAAGCTATCATGGAGTTCTCATCAAAAGTAACATCTCTGCTGATTATGAACTTAGAATCCTCTGCACACCATAGGCGATAGCCTTTTACACCTGCCGCATACCCCAAGAATATAGTCTTCTTGGCCCTCGCATCAAGCTTTCCCTCGTTGACGTGATAGTAGGCTGTGCATCCGAATATTCTGAGTTTCTCATAATCTGCATGTTCTCCTGTCAATACCCTGTAAGATACATCTCCATCTAACTTTGAATGTGGAGACCGGTTCACTATGTAGCAAGCATTTGCAACCGACTCTGCCCACCATTCTCTGTCCAAACCAGCATAGAATCGCATACACATCGATTTCTCTCGAAATGTGTGATTCAGTCTTTCTACGACCCCATTCTGTTGCGGTGTATTCCTAACTGTCCAATGTCTCGCAATGCCTTCCTTACCACAGAACTCCTTGAAAGCACCATCTGTATACTCAGTACCGTTATCAGATCGCAGTGTCTTCAATTTCTTTCCTGTTCTGTTCTCAACCATTGCTTTCCACTTCTTGAAAGTGTCGAATACTTCATTCTTATGCTTCAAAAAATAAATCCAAGCATATCTAGAATAATCATCAACAAATGTAACAAAATACCTGGAACCGCCTTTGGAAGTGATAGAAGCCGGACCCCATACATCCGTGTGCACATAGTCTAAAATACCTATGTTTCTATGTTTGCTTGGCTGGAACTGAACTCGGTGTGCTTTACCGTACACGCAATGCTCGCAAAAATCCATGCAAGGCTTCTTCAAGTTTTTTAGCGAGCCTTTCTTGACTAGCAGATCTAGCCCCTTTTCAGACATACTCCCAAGCCTTCTATGCCATAGCCGAGTGCACTCACATGGATCTCCACCACTTCCACTTGTTCCAACCGCTACATCTTCTGTAACTGTAGTACCCTGAAGAGCATAGAGATTGCCTTCACGAATACCCTTCATCACAATCAAAGAACCACGAATAACCTTCTTTACTCCATTCCATGTTACAATCTTGCAACCACCGGAGTCTAAAGCACCAACAGAGATAAGGTTCTTCCGCAAATCAGGAACATGTCTAACATCCATCAATGTTCTAACCACTCCATCAAACATCTTGATTCTGATTGAACCGAGCCCCACCGTTTTACAAGAATGGTTATTACCCATCAACACAGTTCCACCATCAGTGCTTCTATAGGTAGTAAACCACTTCCTATTTGGACACATATGGTAAGAGCATCCAGAGTCAAGAATCCACTTACCGGAGATTTCTTCATCACAAGTGATGGTGTAGCACTCATTGCTTTCTCCTCCTTCTGAGGCATAGATAACCTCTTGCTTGACTTGCACCTTCCCGTTATTGTTGCTCTTATTGTTCTTCTTCAAACCCCTTTTGTTAGTACAATTCGCCTTGAAATGCCCAAGCTCGCCGCATTTGAAACAAGGCCTTCCGCAAGAGGTCTAGAACTCGATCTAGATTTTTCTCCCTTGTCCTTTGGTCGCACATTGCTTCTACCTCTTACAAACAATCCTTGAGCTTGCTCTTTGTTACCAATGGTAGACATGCCACTAGTTGCAATCTTACGAAGATCATCCGCTATAAGTGACATTCTAGTGTCCTCCATCACAAGTTTATCACCCACAAGCATCAATGTTTGCACTAGGTTCTCGTAAGACTTTGGCAATGAAAGAAGTAGTAGAAGTGCTTGTCCTCATCATCTACTTTCACATCGATGTCCTTCAAGTCCGATATACACCTATCAAACTTGTTGACGTACTCCCGGATTAGTGTACCTTCATCCATCTTGCAAGTATACAATTTGAACTTCAAATAAATCCGGTTAGTTAGAGTCTTCGTCATGAAGTTCGCCTCCAACTTTGTCCACACCTCCGCCGCCGTTTCCTCACCATCAACCAAGAAAGCAACATCTCTTTCAAGGCATAGAATGATAGATGCTCGTGCCTCAAGATATAGCTCTTCCCAATTCTCGTCAAACATATCTATGTGCTTCTTCTCCTTTCCCATCAATGCGTTGTGCAACTTTTGAAAAATTAACAAATTTTTCATTTGCATTCTCTAATATGAGAAATCATTCTTCCCATTGAATTTCTCTATCTCATACTTCCCAATCTTCACCGTTCCTCTAATAGACATGATTTATCTACTTGTTTACCGGAAATAAACCAACAAAGTTCACTTGAGAATTTTCACAAACACCTTGTGTGCACAACAAAGTTCAAGCCACCCATCAAAAATCGGAGTTTAACCACCCTGATTTAAGAAGAATCTCTGATACCAAATTGTTGGGAAAACACCTCCCAAAGATTGCCCAAAATAAACAAACTTGCAATGTGGAAAAAATCTCAAACCACTTCAAAGATAAGAAATTGGAGAAGAAATGATTTTCAATATATAAATGAAGAATAATGGATTGGATTACTTGAACAAGCCTCAAGTTAATCCCAAGAAAGAAAAAATTGCTTTGAATTTATACCCAAGAAGAACAACCTCTTACTTGTTAAATTCTATCCAAGCTTTCTCTATTTTTCTCTCTCAAAACCGGATCTTAAAAATGAAGGGAAAAACAGCAATATATATAGAACTGAATCGGGCGCCATGGCGCCCCCATCACTGCTCCATTCTTTCTCTTTGGGCGCCATGGCACCTGCCTCCCTGCACCTTTCTTTCTCACAATGTACATATGAATTCCTAACAAAGTCTGTGAGAGAAGATCAAAAATAAGAAGAATTTTGTTTTAGTTGAAATCTGAATTTCAAGGATGATAATTGAAGTTTAAACATGTTTCTTCCTGGATCTAATGAAGTTATACATCATATCTACCGATTTAATTGTTCATAGCAGCTCGCGCGTGATTTGACACTGAACTACTCCTTGAGACTTGCTGGGAAAGGAAAAGAACAAATCAAGATGCACAATATGCGAAATGCTCCACAAAGAAAAAAGCATTGGAATTTGCATCAGTTATGATTCCTACAATACGTTTTTTATTGTCAATTGCACGGTGGAAAACACTAACAATGATTTTTACAAAATTTGTTAACAGACAGATGAATGAAAACTAGATTGGCAGATAGACATGGATAGGCAAAGCATCAAGACCGCCTAAATCATTCCTATTTTCCTCCGGCTGTTAAACTGCTTTCTTTACGGCGATTTTAGCAGCTTCTATGTGTCAGACATCTTCATTTCGAACAGCTGTCCATTAACTTTATCATACTGCTGAGGCTACCCAGAGAAAACAATTATAAATACATCAGACACTTCAGATTGTAAAAGAAAAAAACTTACCAGAAAGTTAGGGATCATTGAGGAAAGTGTAATGTGTAATCAGAGACCTGAACAATCTTAACAGGATAATAATACATATCCCCAGGCGAGCATGTTGCAGAAACAGGTTTTGTAGTTTCTGATCCTTGAGAGAACTTCTCTGCAACTCCGTTGATCCTCTTGTTTTGCAATTTTCTAGATGGTTTTTGATCCTTTATAGTCACCCCATTGATAATCTTGTTTTGAAATATGCTAGACAGTTTTTTATCCTTCGTAGACTCCATGGGGTTTTGAGTAAACACACCTGAAATAGAAAATTTCCTGGGCTATAAAAAGCAACATAAGCATTTATAAATACTACACTATCCGTCTTTTTATTATTGTCCTCTAGAATGAGTGAAAAGTACTAGAATTCGAGAACCAAAGAAACATACTATGTATTTTTGCATATAGTTCTTGGTATTCCCATGCACTTTTTGCTGTGGAGGGATCTGCAGTTGTGTAATCCCAAGTTATGGAAGTGGAAAACATTGATAATATTATAGCATTGTATTACATGCCAATAAAATGTACTTACATGTATGGAAATGGTTCCTGGGCGATTCTGAGCTCCGTAAAATTAACGAGAGGTACCCAGAATTTGGACATGCAGTGAATGAAATGTCTCCCAAATTTGGATCCCAAGAATTCAATTGTGGGATAGGAACAATTTGATATGCTGTATGATCCCAAGGGGAGTAGTGAGGGAAGTCATAATGCAGTGGCCGAAATTCTGAGGTAATGACATCCAAGTTTTTAGTGTAAAATGACTGAGTTGGGTAATTTAAAGGACAACTTCGCATTTTTTCTGCATCGTACAAAACCAAGGCTACATACAGTCTCTTCCCTTGGATAGTTATTCCTAGGAAAAACCAAACTGAACTAAGATTTGGAGAAAGAATGACAAAAGACATACAAGAAAAGTGGGAAAGTGAAAAGGAGACTCAGCTTACCATTTAGTGAAAGCATAGCTTTCGCTGCCTCCTTTGAACTGGTAAATCTCACAAAACCACAACCTTCACTAACTCCATCTCTACCATGGATCACGTTTGCTGATGTTACTTTTCCATGACCACTGAAAATTTCTTCCAATTTCCAGTCATCAGCAGATACTTCAAGATTATCCACAAATAGTTATGAAGCCTTTGACTCTGGATAATTATGTCGATGTACTTGTCTTAGAAGCTTCATCCGGTCAGCTTTCTTTTGAGCCCTTCCCACAAAGAGATTCTTTGATCCTGATTCATACAAAAAATACTTTATTCAAGAGTCAATCTTAAGTAGTGAAAAAAGGGGATGCTAGATATATTTGAATCGTGCTGAGCAAGAAGGATACTTTCCAATCAGTGCTCCATTTAGAGTTGCCATGGCTTTCGTAGCCTCTTCATGTGTATCAAAATTCACAAATCCAAAACCTTTGGATTTCCCATTCTCATCCTTCATTGTGACAGCACTGCAGACCTTTCCATATTCTGAAAACTTTTCTTTGAGGTGATCCTCAAACGACCATCTAGATTTTTCACGTACAAGTTTGTGAAACCTAGTTCTGCGTCCTTTCTCTCACACTTTTTAATGAACTTCGACACACATCTGAAGTAAACAAACAAGGTATATAAACATCGTACACTACTCCGATATGGCATCCAAAAATAATAATAATAATAATAATGCTCGAATATAAAGCTGAGATCATTATTAACAAGCTCTATGAGATATACTGAACAGAGACATTCACAAAATTCTACCAGCTTGTAATCTTTCACGATTTTGTTAATAACCAATCAGTAAATGATTTTAACCAAACATTAGCAAATCATTTCAACTCCACATGATTGAATTACACATTTGTCTTAATTTGAATGATCAACAAGCCACAACAAAACATTAAAGTATTTTTCAGAGAACTTTCAAATGAACATCTCCCCAAGATTGTGTTTAACTAAATAGATGCTAAAACGAGGAACTTATGGTTTAAAATCGAAGATTTCGTTACTGAAGTAGGATAAATGAGCTAAGTAGGAGATTGTGAAGATTTGACTTGAGCATTTACATAGGATGTTTCAAATTTAATCAGCTATTTGAGTCAGATAGCATGATTCAAATATTAATATTTTCTAGAGATCAAGAGGAAAATAATATATACTAGCTTTAGACACAAGAATTGGACTATTCAATGACATGCACCGATGAAATAAAACTAACTAACATAGAGAAAGAAAATGAATAAATATAACCTCTATAATGTCCACAATTTTGAAGACAATAAAGGGCAGGGAGCAATTATCAAAAGGGGCCTTCATAGTTGGATAAAAAGAACAGACTGAAGATAGCAGGGACTTACAACTTCTTGCCTTCCGGCAGGGTGCCATTGACGGCATTTAGAGCTGCCATAGCTGATATCTCGGAATCAAATTGAATGAAACCAAAACCCTTACTCTTCCCATTTTCCTCAGCGACTTTGCATGATAGTATTTCTCCATAATTAACAAAGACTTCTTGCAAGCGAGCACTGGTAATTGAAGGGTCGATATTCTTGATTAAAGGTTCCCAGTGCCAGTCTTCCTCGTGATAGGGTCTATCTGATGCCACATAATCCTCATAGATTTACCCCTCAATTCAGTGTAGTTTAGGCTAGTTAAAGCAGTATCAGCTGATCAAACTAACAGTGAATTGAATAGAATATCATACACTAAAGAGAAAGGGTGTGCATTTTTGGCGTCCCAAGGAAAGCAAGAGAGCAGAAATTTGATGTTTTTGACATACCCAAAAAGAGATACTAAGAGAGTGAACAAACATGGTTAAGAAGCTAGTAAGGGAGAGAAAAAGAATATGCCCATAAGGAAGAAGGGGCCAATTTTTCTCATGAAAACAGAACAAGCTAGCAAAAGTTGCTGACACATACATGTTAATCATGTATACAAGGAAAGAAAATCACTCCATGTGCTGCAAGAGAAAATTGAGGATAACCAAAAACAAAGAAAGGCTAGCGAACACTGTTCACGACTAAAACATTGGGCTGAAAGCCTGAAATTAAAAATGGGAATGGTAAGAACTAAGAACAAACAGAAATGAAACAAAAAATGAATAACAAGAATAAAGGTTTGCACATAAATCTTTAAAGTTCTTTGAATAGATCTACTCAAGAAAGAGTCAAGAAGTAAATATACGGGCAAGAAAAACTCCTAAAATACATACAAAAACGACAGAACCTATGGTAATCATCCCTTGAAGAGAGTATGAAAATAAGATCTTTATCTTATATATCATAAGTATTAACATTCATGGTTTAAGTTTTCTTGTAATAGAACATAAAACAGAGCCCATTTGAGAGGAATTAAATATTTCTTGATTCTCAAAACAACGTGAATGGCTGAAGGAAAACTTCATGATAAACATATAGATAAAGAATTCAGTCAATGAAACAAAACTCACAAATTCTTGCATTTAGGAATAATAGTGACCCAAAAAATGAAAATCCCCTTTTTCTTGATTAATCAAAAACTCCACATTACCAAACCCAAAATATCACAATTTCTTGAATTAGGAATAATAAAGTAACCCATAAAATGAAAGTCCCTTGTGTCTTAATTGTTTCAAAACACCACATTACCAAACCTAAGATAAAATAAATAAATAAAAAATTCAAATCCTAAATATCAAAACACAAACTAGACATATTTATTCATTAGAACGTGCTAGAAATCCCTCAAAATAAAGATTCCAACTCAAAATATGGTTGATAAATATATCACTCCTCCCCCCACCACAAAAAATAAATAAATAAATAAATAATAAAAAAAAAGATTGAAAAAAAATCTACAGTATAAAAACAAACATAGCGAACCATAAACCTTTTAGAAAACACATATACAAATAAAGCCTATTTATACAACTTAAAGATCTAGAAAAACGGCAATAAACAGAGTACCCATTTTCTTGGTCACTCCAGGAAACTACATTATAAAATCAAAATTCAGAACATATGAACTAATATGAATGTATATATAAATGTTACATATTTGTGTTTTGTTTATCATCAATGTGAGATTGGAGGGTGTTTGAGCCCCATTTTTATGGAAAATGAATTTTAGAATATTGGATTGATGGAGAATATATGGTTGAAAATTAAGGAAAATTTTTTGAGTTATATGTAATATTATTTTAATAAAAAATGTGTGGTAAAAAAATGTATTTTGAGAAAAATGAGAGTCAAACAAGGCCTTGAATGGACATAGGCATCAAAGGGACTTATGAGAGAGCTTTCTTGGTAGAGGTGAACAGATGATACTGGGCCTACCCTCGCTAAACACCAGCAATAGATCCTTCTCCGTCACATCTAGGTGCAGATCACTCACGTACAACGATGCCCTCTGCGAAGGATCTAGTAATGGTGACCCTGATGATGGTGTAAGTGTCATCGAGGCCCTATGTAATGGTTGGAGCTCAACTTCAGCCAAAACCAACAAAATCAACACAAATTACTTGCAACTAAAGATAGTCAACTGGGACTTAACAACCCAGGTTGTAATGGTATTAATTAAACTGAATAAAACTACAATTAAGAAGAGAAGAAGAGAAAGAAAGAAGCTAGAAGAAGAAGGTAGAATAAGGGGGGGATTTAGAGAGATTGGGTAGGAAGACACAGTTTTGACATTCAATCCTCTTCTTATGCTTTCCTACGATTTAAGTACTACAGCAAAAATTGTGTTGCCAAAATGATAAAATGTATTACAATCAAACAATTAAATTGGAAGCAAAACGACGTCGTCTTGGATCAAGCTAAATGGTGTCATCCTGAATTTCAAAATTCTGGTGGAACTTCTAGGATCTCTTCTTCTCTTCCCCAGTTACTTCCTTCAACTTGTTGGTTATGACATTCCTCCCCCCTCTAATCGACCTTGTCCCCAAGGTTGGAAGTGAGAAAACTGTGTCTGGATCGTTGCAGCATCTTCCCAAGTTGCATCTTCCCTTGTAGCATGCATCCACTGTACTAACCGTTGAGTAACAACCTGATTGTTCCATTTGATTATACGAGTTTGTAGGACTGCATCGGGAGTGTTGTGCTATTGTCCTATTTCATTGATGTCTGGGATTAGCAAAATAGGCACTACTATGTTCCCTATCTTTTTCTTAAGCAATGAAACATGGAAAATAAGATGGATTTTCGAAGCACCAACTCATAAGATATCTATCCAATCTTTCTGATAATTTGATAAGGTCTATAATATCTTGCAAATAACTTGGAGTTGACCCCAGTGGAGATAGATTGTTGTTTATACGACTAAAGCTTCAAATACGCCCAATCTCCAGTTTGGAATTCCCTCTCAGTTCGGTGTTGATCTACGCAAAACTTCATCCTTGCCCTGGCATAAGCTAAATTTTCTTTGAGCAACCGATCCATGTGATGTCTCTATCATACCAACTCATCCACTATCGCAATGTTAGCTTGTTGATAAGGTCCTAAGACCAGCTGTAGGGTCTTGATTCCATATAAAGTTTCGAAATGGCACATTCTAATAACTGTGTGATAAGTGGTATTAAACCACCATTCAGCTAGTGACAACCAATTAGACCACCACTTAAGTCGATGAAAAGTCATGCAACGTAGGTACATCTCCAAACACTGATTTAGTCTCTCTCTATCTGACCATCAATTTGGGGATAGAATGCAGACCATAGGTGTAGCTCAGTCCCTAGTAATTTGAATAGCTTTGCCAAAACCCACTGATGAATATCTTGTCTCTGTCAGGCACCATGCTTTGAGGCATCCCATGCAGTTTGTATATGTTATCCAAGAACAATTTTGCTATAGTAGTAGCTGAGAATCGATGTGCTAATGCAAAGAAATGACCATATTCGGTGAACCTGTCCACCACCACCAAGATTACTATCTTAACTTTAGAAGAAGGTAGCCCTTCAATAAAATCCATGGAGATATGACTCCAAGAATATTGTGGCTCAGGGAGGGGTTGCAACAAACTAGGGTAGGGAACATGCTCCTCTTTACACCTCTAGCAAACATCACACTGCAGTACTTTCCTTTTGATGTCTTTGGTCATGCCAGGCCAAAAGAAATGTTGTTTGGCCCTATAGACACTCATCTGTATGCCTGAATGCTCCCTATTTTGTGAAGAATGAATATTTTATATTAGTCTGGCTTTATATTGGAGTAGCTCGTTTTTGAAGGAATAATCAGATATCTCTACAGATTTGATCAGTTGTGCTTTAATCAATTAGTTAGCCATTTCATCCCCTTGATAGCTTCCTATCACCTTCTATACCCAAGACAACATTTTTAGTTCTCCATTTTCTATATTAAATCTCATAGCAGAGCCCAAGGAGTTTGGTTAGCCTCTTCTATTGGAGAGGTATGAAGATCCTTTGTTCTATGAGGTATTTTAATGATTGATGATCAGTTTTGATTATGAAATGGTTACCTTCAAGGTAATGTCGCCATTTCCCCACGGCGATGACCAATGCTAGCAACTCCTCATAAATGGACAACCCCAACTTTTTCTTATTTATGCTTTTACTCATATAAGCAATTGGTCTCTTCCTTTGCATCAAAACTGCCCCCATTCTCCCAACACAAGCATCTGTCTCAACTATGAATGTTTAGTTGAATTCCAATAGTACAAGGATTGGGGTGTTACACATTGTTGTCTTCAACGCTTGGAAGGCTATTTCAGCCTCATCATTCTAACAAATTGTCCTTCTTGAGAAGATCTGTTAAGGGTTTAGCTAGCACCCCATATCTTCTCACGAATTTTCTGTAATAGCTTATCAACCTAAGGTATCATTTTAGCTGTTTCATGGTGATGGGTCTAGGCCATTGCTGCATAGCACTCATCTTCTATGGGTCAGCTGACAGCCCTGCAGCTGATATTGTATGCCCCAAGTATTTAGCGTTGGTTTCCCAACAGAACACTTAGATTCCTTGGCATATAGTGTCTGACTCCTCAGTATTTCCAACACCATTAACAAGTGTTCGCAATGAGATGGTAAGTCAAGACAGTATACCAAAATATCATCAAAGAAAATCGGTACAAACTTCCTTAAGTAAGCTTTAAAAACTTCATTCATTTAAAAACTTCATTCATCAAGCTTTGAAAAGTGGCTGGGTATTGGTCAGGCCAAAAGGCATCACCTTAAATTCATATAGACCTTGTTGTGTCTTGAATGCTGTTGTGAATATCAGTGTCTACCATTCTAATCTGGTGGTATCCAGCCCTCAAATCAATTTTGGAAAACCATTTGGAGCCATGAAGTTCATCAATCAAAGGCATGGGGTATTTGTCCTTGATAGTTAAATTGTTTAGCTGCCTATAATCCACACAAAACTTACATGTGCTATATCTTTTCTTTACTAACAGGACGAACGAGGTAAAAGGGAAGCTGCTATATTGGAGGATCCCTACTTTCAACATTTCCTTCACCATACTCTCCATTTTAGTTTTCTATACATAAGGCCATCTATAGATCCTTATTTTAAAAGGCTGGGCTCCTTCCTCTAAGGATTTCCTATGATCATTAAACCTGGGAGGGGGCATTCCTTTTGGTCCTACAAATACATTTGGGATATTGCTTAAGGATATCTTACACTTCAGTAGGAATTTGGCCCTTTCCTTCATCTTTAATTGATTGGATTTGAGCTGCAATGCCATAAGGTTGCCGTGTATCCACGAGCTCATCTTTCCCCCTTCCATCATCATAAATTCTTCACTCATGACTTCACTTTTTAATTCCACCTTCATTCCTTGGTAAGAGAATCTGATGCTACCACGTTGGAAGTCAAATTCCACGGGATTAAACTTGTCAGTCTACTCCCAAGACCATATCACTCTCCCCAACCTCAACATTCTCAGTTGGAATTGGCATTCCATTACTTACATGGCCCAAGTAAGGGGGTTACATATGGCAATACTATGTAGCTTGTCTCCATTAGCCATGGTAACTATCACAGATTGAGTGGGTTCTATTTTACACCTCAGCTCCTTGACTAATTTCTCATCAATAAAGTTATGGGTGATGTTGATAAGGATAGACACTCTCTTCCTCTTCACCATGCCTGGGAGTCAGATGGTTTTTGGTTTCAAGCTGCTTGTTAAGGTATTAATGGAGATCTCCATAATTTCCTTATTTTCATTCCATTCACATTACTCAATCGCATTCTCCTCATCCTCCATTTCCCCCTATATTCCATCATCCACCAACATGAAGTTCAGCATCCTGTTTCTACATATATGTCTAGGGTTGTATTTATCATCACATCTAAAACATAACCCCAGGCTCTTTTTGGTTTGTATATCAGTGGGAGTGATAGATTTGAATCTCAATAGGTAGTTTTGGCTCTTTTGGATATGTTCAGTGTTATTGCTGGGATATTCTTGGGCTGGCTTCGAAGGGCCCTGGTAGGAGGTTAGGCCATTTGGATTGATAATTGGGTTTGGCTGGGTTTTTGGTGTTTTTGTTGAGAGCGAGAGCGAGAATGGTATTCTCATGTAAGATGGCTATTTCAAAGGCTTGGGAATAGAGGTTGGCTTGATAATTTTCACCATTGACTTGATTTCCTCCTTCAATTCACTAGTAAAGATGGAGATATAATACAACTCAAGAAGGTGGGGAAGGGATAACATTACTTGGGATTTGAGATCCTCAAAGAGCTCCTGGTAATCGGCCACAAATCCTCTTTGTTTGATTTTACTAAAAGTCTCTATAGCTTCTTCACCTGTACCCTCTACAAACCGCCTACACACCTTTGTAGAAAACAATTCTCAATGAGCGTTGGGATTGCTCGTGATGAATCCATAAAACCACACATCTGGCTTCCCTTTCAAATACATCTCCACCACACTAACCTCACTTCTTCGGGAATTAGGTATATTTGAAAATATTTTTGAGCATGCCTCAACCATTCTCTAGGCAGGGTCGGACCTATAGTTTGCAGGGCCTGAGTCAAAATTCATATTTTGGGCCCATAAATCATAATAAGCAATTAATTTTTTTCATTTATAAGAGATTTAAGAAATTATATTTGTCAACATAAAATCAAAAAATAAATCAAAAAAATGAAATATTTAAAATATGTATATTATAATCAAATAACAATGTGAAAATGTTCTAAAAGATCACTTAAATACAACTCGTCTTGTAGTTTTCGAGGGAAAAATATCGATCAATTTTGTATAGTCGAGTTGTTCAACCATTTCTTTTTCAATTAAAAACATGGCTAAACCATTCAATCTTGGATATAAGTCTTGATCAATTTCAACTTGGAAAAACTTCTTTCTACTGATGCAATTGTAACCAGGATGGTGAGCAAAATCTTGTAAGCAATGCAAGCATTCGAAAAACAACCATTCATTTTCTTCAAGTAATGTAGCACATCAATTGCTCTTTTTATTTCGCTAGTTAAATAGCATCTCAAGACGATCAACTCCAAACATAAATCATCACCTATAATGTCTAAATGTCCATTATGTTCTAAATACTGCTCAAGATTCATACAAGATTTCAGCAAACTGTCAACTTGCATACTCTTTAATCTATCCAAGTTAAACAAAAATCCAAATATCTCTTCATAATGTGTAAATTGTGCAAAACGAGATTGAAGTGATGATCGAGCTTGATCAATTATAAAGAGAAAATACTCAACTCTAAAATATTCTTCAGTCGAGTATATTGCCTCTTCAGTGCCACTTTCATCGAAATGCTTCTTTCTTCGAATGCTACGTCTCTCTTGAAATATAGCTTCAATTCCCATTTCACTTGCCATTTGTTTTGCTTTATCCATGGTACTGGCAAACCCAGATTCTCTATAATCTTTGAGAAATGAAATAAGTGCTTGTAAAAATTTGATGGCTTCATTAATATCCATGTTTTCGGCTTGAAAAAATTTACTCATAATATTGATTGCATGCAACAACTTATACCAAATTACTATGCCAAGCAAAAACTCAAAATTTTCAAGTTTATATATTTCTAAGGACTTTACTTTTTGTTTTAGGATCTTCAACAATGTTTGCCAAGTCAAGTAAAGCGTCTCTTATTTGTATAGATTGTTCTTTTATAGGTTTTACACTTTCCACATGTCTTTTCCAGCGTGTTTGCGATAATAGCTTAAGTGTCAGACCTTGAACCTTATATTTAAAAAATTTTCATCGTTTGGGAGAAGAAGAGAACAATGTGTAGATTCGATGTATCACTCCAAAGAAGGACATAGCTTTCGAACAACAATTTGCTATATCACATAATGCTAGATTAAGGCTATGGCAACCACATGGAGTATAGAAAGCTCTAGGATTAATTTCAAGTAACCTTTTTTGTACACCTTTATGTCTCTCGCTCATGTTAGCTCCATTGTCATATCCTTGACCTCTTATATTATCAATATCAAGTTCAAGATTCTTTAACACATTTTTAAGCATCATCCACCGTAAAAAATTCAATCCAATATTCTTGTACCATCGACGAGTCTACCGAATAATCCACGCATCGTATTACTAGAGATATTTGTTCTTCGTTACTCACATCCGAAGTACAATCAAGTATGACAGAAAAATATTTTGCATGTTTCACTTTTGTGACAATTGTACTTCTCACCTTGCCTGCCAACATTTGTATTAATTCATTTTGAATCTTAGGGCCAAGATATGTATACTGAATCTCGAGTGCTTGGGCACATCGAATGTGTTCTTCCATTATTGGATCGAATTCGACAACTTTATCATTTGCAAAAAAAGTTCATTATTCTCAACATAAAGTTGCTCACAATCTCCACAAAATGCCAAAGTATTTTTAGCGGGTCTTTTCACAATAGCAATTATTCTTGTTAACACTTGTCTCCAATGCTCTCTTTCTTTGTTGATGGACAATTGTATGCTTTCATCAATTGTATGTTTTGTTTGAAGCCTATTTTCTAATTCCATCCAACTAATCATGCAACCTATATGCTCCTTAGACACTTCATGATGTGTAAGACACCGATGCATATTATGCCAATCATTGTATTCGTCATTACCCAATTGGCCAATATTTTTGTCCATTTTTCTAACTTAAATAACTTGCAGCAAAAACAGAAGATCTTATCCAAAGAAATTGAATGCACTAACCATCTTCTATCAATTGTCTAACCATTTGCCATTAACCGCTTATATTGTGATGATTCAAAATGTCTACCTTTACTATCTCTGAGAAAGAATATGTCATCAACTCTTTTTTGACCCACTTCAACTAGAAAGTCTCTTATCTTTTGATCAATGTGAATGTCTTTCCAATTTTCAGGATCATTAAAATTCAAAGAAAAGCAATTCTCTTTATTTAAATCTTCATTTTGAACATTATTTTCATTATTCTGTTTTGACTCATCCATATTTGCAGGTTCAATCATTTCTTTGTTCTCTTTCCATTCATCCACATGATCATTGTCATTATCATTCTCATTCTATTGTTCCTCAATCGTTAACTTTTCTGGTGTTCCTTCCTCCCCTTTTCTTTTCTTGTCATTAAAGTACTTATCCATATCTCCAGCTTGACTTTGAATTAATGCCTCGACTCTTTCCTTTTTTTCCTTTTTTGAGCTCCCGACGCATATATAGAAGCCATAGTATTTGACTCAAGTCACTTAATAGCAAGCGCTTACTGAAATTTGAGAGTAAAAGAGGACCAAGTTAGATTAATTTAAGATTAAAAATTCAAAATTGATTAATAACTTATAATAAAAGTACTCAACTTAACATCGACCATCATTCACACTTTATCAATTCTAGAGTTTTAGTTGCGCACTTGATAATGAGAGAACTAGACCAGAACATAAAAATAAATAATAGAGAGCTAAACCCATTAAGTCGAGCTAATGAATCTATATTTTCATCACTTAGCCTTACCTATTTCATCAGATCATCAACTACTATCTTCAAACCCCCCCCCCCC